CCCCCCCCCCCCCCCCCCCGCGGCGTGCAACCTGTAGTCTCATGAAGCACACACAAATACAACAAACGAACGATAACCAACGTCCGCGCGCGAGACACCAGGCCACCTTCACCGCCGACAAGGCGTCGTGGGAGGGCAAGAGCGTGGTTTCGGTGTCGCAGTTCTCGACCGAAGGGCTGGGGCTCCTGTACGACGTGGCCGGGAAGATGAAGGCGATGGTCGCGGACAAGTCCGACGACGCCACGCTAAGGTAAGGAAAGAGCGTCGCTTGATTGCGCCCCCCAACTCGCGTTCGACGTTAGTCGTCATGGGTGATGTTGCGGACAAATCCGCGAACCTAAGGTTGGGCTGTCGCTTGTGGGTAGGTCACCCCCAGCCCACGTTTGGTTGACGTTTGGCGCTTGGTTGGGAGGTTGTTGGTGCTTGTCGTGGGCGACGTGTCTCGCCCCCGACGGCACGAATCCACGCCGCTTGCCTTGTCGGCTAGCCCCCGACGTCAGGGTCTGCCGCAGCTCGTACTTGGGCACTGGTAAATGACGACCACCGTGATGCTGTCTCTCCGTGTATATCCCCTCGTCGCTGCGCGCTTGTTGACGACGGTGATATGTCGCAAGCCCCCCCCCCCTGCGCCGCACGCATGACCACCTCCTCAAGTATTGTGGGGTATTGTGGGATACGTGTCTGATTCTTCCCTCCGTCCCCTCTCCGCCTGTCTCTAATTCTCTCTCTCTCTCGCTCTCTCTCTCTCTCGGTATTTTCTGCCCGTCTCTGTGTGTGCCTATGCATGTCTCTGTGTCCCTCTCCCCCTCTCGCTCGCTCGCTCGCTCCCTCTCTCCCTCTCTCTCTCTCTTTCTCTCTCTCTCTCTCTCTCTCTCTCTCTCTCTCCCTCTCTCTCTCCCTACTTCCCCCTTCCCTTCACTCATACTCCTTTCTGTCGCAAACGCCTCGTTACATCATCTCCAGCCGCAACCCTCCTCTGAGGGGCCGCGTTCTTGGCACCCTGTTCTACGAGACCTCAACGAGGACGGCGTGCTCCTTCCAAGCGGCCGTTGCCCGCCTCGGGGGAACGTTTGTGTCGGTCGACCCGGCGTCGTCGAGCATCAAGAAGGGCGAGAGTCTGGAGGTGCGCAGCAGGGTATTCTCTGAATGTACATGTCTCGAAGCAGTATGCTGTGGTCGACAGTTGTAGATATGGTCTCGTGTTTTTGTTGGGGATATCATCTTGTGTTTTTTGTTTTTTGTCTATGACCTCCTTGGAGCACAGCAGTCGGCATGGACCACGGCAGAAAGGCGGAGCGCGAGGCAGAGACTGCTGCTACTGCTGCTACTGCGTTCAGGCTTTGTAAGGCTTGGCCAGGAGCAACAACGAGTGATATCGCAACCAACCCCCGCCTTTTTCGAACGTCTTCTCTTCAAGCGAGAGATGCGAGAAAATATTAGAGAGCGCGGTAACCCAACATTAACGAGGTACACGGTAGTACCTCTCGTACTTTGCACTCTGGATTCATGAACGGAAGATAAGCAGGCCTCGGGGGTGCTCGTTTCGCGTCCTGCAACGACCGTCGCAGCCTGTGGAAAGTTGCGAGGAAGGAAGCGTTGGCTTCTCTCCGTCAACTTCCACGCAGAAGTATTCTGATTTTATCGATGAGGTCCTTTCTTCTTTTAAGCGCTTCGGTGGAGTTATGCACACGTAAAACATAGAATGATACTAAGCCTGACAAGATAAGATAAAGGAAGACAGGAAGGCGTTTTTCGCGTTCGTCGTCCTCGTATCCTCATCAGCGAGAAGGGCATTTCCGAGACAATCATCTAATCCACAGCAGCAGTGAATTTTAGTGGATGGAGGGAGAGAGAGAGAGAGTTGCACACAGACGGACAAAGAGAGGCAGAGACAGACAAATTTAGAGATCACGACTCGAGAGGACGTCGTAGTCATTCTTCTTCCATTCTTGCCCACGGGCCGGCCCACACCCATCGCCTCTTGCTCGTCCTTCACACTTCCTTTTCCCGTCTATTGACGCTTCACTCTCTCCATCATGATTTTTTTTGCCCCCCCTTTTCCATCGAGCAGGATACCGTCATGAGCCTCCTCTCCTACTGCGACGCGGTCGCCCTGAGACATCCCGCCAAGGGGGCGGCGCGCGCCGCCGTCGGAGTCGCGCGGAGGCCGGTGCTCAACGCGGGGGACGGGGTCGGAGAGCACCCGACGCAGGCTCTGCTGGACTTGTACACCATCGCGGCGGAGCTTGGGGGGGAGGCGGGGTTGTCTGGTCTTCGAGGGAAGGTGCTGCGCGGTTCACTAAAAATTATGTAGCACCATGGCAATCCTGTTTTTTTTTGTTACGCGGGCGCTTTTGGGTCGTGCGTTTTTGATTCTTTTCAGCGGTGTGCCCTACCTGTTTCGCCCAGCAGACTCTGTTCTCATGGGACGGACCAAAAGGAGGTCACGACATTGTTTTTGTTGTTTTTGTGTGTGTGAAGACACCCCCCCGCTCCTCTC